GCTGTAAATCTTTCCAGGTTGTAGCTAAAGATTCGTTCCCCTCATGACTGTGGGCCTCCTCCATTACTCAGCACATGCACAAAGGACAAAAGATAACGCGGTGTATCTTCCCATGTGCTAGTGGAGGAAGCGTTCTCATTTTTCGCATTTGGTGAGTAGCGGAGCCAGGCCCTGTATCTCGAACTTGGGTTGAGGGCCTCACTCCACTACTTGCACACATGCACAATAAAGACAAAATATGGTGGAACATCTTCCCATGTTCTGCTGGAAGATTCATCCTCATTTAGCTCATTTGGTGAGTAGTGGAGAGAAGCCCTGAGATAGGGCTGTTGGGTGTGCCATTTGGCCCCATTGCCCCATGGCGTTGCCCTTTTCTTGTTTTTATTGCCGTTTGTTGGAGAGAGAGCTTAGTGCCATCCAGCCCACATACTATGGACCCCCTCACCTCGTACTGTTCAACCCGCATAATACGGCCCACTGAGAGAAGCCCTGAGATAGGGCTGTTGGGTGTGGCATTTGGCCCCATGGCCCCATGCCATTGCCCTTTTCTTGTTTTTATTGCTGTTTGTTGGAGAGAGGGCTTAGTGCCATCCAGCCCACATACTATGAACCCACTCACCTCATACTGTTCAACCTGCATACTAATACGGCGCACTGCCCACTGCCCGCTCCGTACCACCACTTAATATCGCCCAGCCCACAGGCACTATCCAGCCCTTGTGACCCGCCCCACGTGGTGGCACCTGACATGCTCATGGCTGTTTTCCATAGGACCACGATGTGTGCCGCGGGCATAGCCGCGGCAGGTCCACTTTGTTCAACCACAAGTACCTTTCCCAGGCACTGGCCAAGTTCACGTTACTGTACATTACAGTAACATACATGATGGTAGAGGCCACTCGCCAGAGAGAGCTTGTGAAAGTAAGTAGACAATGGATCAGTGAGCAATTGTAAYCGCCATCATCTTGGTCTGAGGGGCGATTATGTATGGCACTCACTCTTTCTTTTCTTTTCTTTTCTTCGAGCCTGAATTGGACTAAGATAGAGTCCTTTAAACCTTTGACAGATTTAAAAGACGTGAGTTGGGTTGTCTAGGCTCGAATAAAATTTCACTATATGCGGGAATGTGCTCTGGCCTTCGGCCCTTGGTTTTGTGTGTCAAATTCGATACATGTACGAGTTCACCTTACTGAAACGTAATGGGCATAATCCGCAGGAAACCAACATATGTCTGTGTAGGATCCTCAGAGACTATATGTGAAACCACATCAGGCGGTTAGTAGTGTTCGATTTCACTGTTGTTTTACGAGATGAACCTGGTTATGGTAAATTGAAGCATCTTTCGGAATTGCTCAACCCCACAGACAATATATAGCGTGCGATCGTACACTGAGGTGCCTCTTACCGAGTGGTGGATATGCTCACCTAGGTTTGAATTGAAAGAGGCAGATTACCCAATTAATTGGGGACAGGAGGCGAAACGACATCTCGTTACAACACAGCCTTTAGGTAATACAGGTGAAATCCACCAATAAAGGTGGTTCGCAGAGGACCCGTAGTACCCACAATGTAATATACATGATCGAAAATGGGACATTTCAAAGACCTAGGGTGAACAGTGCTACTTGACCAATATGGCTCATGGAGCCAGCCGAAAGAGGGGGGGGGGAAAACGCTGCCCTGGCTTTTGGCAAACCTCAGCGGACAGGGAAGTGGTTAAAACCACCAGTGCATCGCCCCGCCGAACTTGAGTGAATAGATATTGAGTTAATCCAAAAATATCGGAGGCTTGAGGCTACTGGACCAAAATGGCTGGCGGCACCAGCCAAAAGAAAACAAGCACCATGCTTGTGTTTTGCAGACCCTGGTGCCCCCTGGGGTCCCAGTCGGTGGAAGTAAAACCGGATGGAAATGCTGCAGCCCTGTTCGCATTGTGTTAGTTTTACCTCTGACCTTTGCGCGGCAAAAGGATGGACATTGTCGATCAGTTTGCTCGACAAAAGGATGAACATTGTCAATCAGTTGCAGGCTGTAGAAACAGGCACCCTCCCATATCTTCTAATTGCATGCACACATTGAGGGACGCTCGCGGGTTTTCCAGAAGATGATGATCCCCACCACCAATAGCTCAGAGCCATCCCCTGGGTTGCTAATGGCGTCTGCTCATGCCAGCACAATCTGCAGGCCGAGCAGACGAGTTTTCAAAAAAAAAAAAAAGAAAAAAAAGGAGGCACTTCAGCAAAGCTTGGCATGCAGGGGACATTGACCTTGGCAAAAAAGAGCCTTGGTCATAGTGATGGTTTAAGGCTTGCAGAAGGAAGGGTATGCTGGTGCATACCATTCATGATACAGGAGGAGAATCTGGGCCCCCCTTCTGAAGGCTAGGGTTTTGCATGAGAGATTCTCTGCCAATCTGCCAATCATTCGTAGGGGTGCCATGGTTGTACGTTGCCTGCTCAAAATGAAACAAGAGCCTTCCAAATCATACATCGAGAGCCCCTTGCAGTGGTACTCGTGGGCAGCCTTGCAGTGCCATATTAAAAAAAGCAGTCCACAATCTCCTCCCATTCGCTTGACCTCAGGACTTCGTGACCCTGCATGAGCAATCAAGTATGACTAAGCTTTCGCAGGCGCTGGTAGTCTTTGACTGATGTTCTTTCACACTCGCGACTCTGGCATGAGGGAATAAAGACAGAACAAGAAAGACATTCTTATCCATGACCTCCGAGACCGTGAGGGATTCTGCTCTGCAAGATTCAGCTAATGTGACGGAGACTAAACATAGCGGGTGGATGGGTGGGCATAACGATTACTGTCTAGAGGGGTGGATAGGTGGGCATAACGATTGCTGTGTAGGTTCAGCAGCAGTGCCAAACTCCTCTACAATTCCTCCTTGGTGATTAGGTCTCAACGGCAGTTCCTTCATGACATCATTGAGTTTCACATATGGTTTAGTTAGGAATGTAAACGAGTGAACACAGATCTTCCTGATCAATCTTTCGCTGACTTTTCCCCAATGAGTGCATGTGCATCTTCTTTCGTCCACTTGACAGTTGAACCCTTTTTCGCACTGTCCATTCAGTCTTTGACCGCACTCTGAGGGCACATGAACCCTGCAGTTCAGGAGCTGTGTCCGTTTGTGGGAGTTGTTGAACAAACGATGATGTGCAGTTTCAACCGCACACTATCTGACCAACCACCCCCCCAGTTAGACATCCAGTATCTTGGCAGGGAGAGTGCAGCGGACCACCAAAGCAGTGAGAAAAAAAACGCACTGATTAGATGAGAAAAATGAGAAAAGGGCGAGAAAACGGAGAAAAGGGCAATGTGATTCACTCACTTTTTCCGTACCATCAGTGCGGTTTTCTCTCAGGAATTTGCAGCCATCAGTGCTTAGACCTTTTCTCTTGGAAGGAGAGAACCTCAATTTCTTCGAGGTTGGGCCGCTGGAAAAGATTACGACCATCTATGAAAGCAAAAAAGAAAAGCAAACACAGGAACTGTAACGGAACACTGCTGCAACCACTTTACCAAACAGATATGACCACGTTTCCGACCCAGGTCAGTGCGAGTATGCCCTCAGCTAGTGCACTACCCCGCATTGCCTGCGCGTCCAGGTTGGCGATTCATCATTCCTGTTTTTTTTTCAAGGGCATGCGATTCGTCATACTTCGTGAACATTCTTTTATTAAAATTATTTTTCCTTTCTTTTTCAAAAATTTAAAATTTGAAATTTCTATATTCCTGTCCCCCCTCTTCCGCAAGAATCGGCCTACCCGCACATGTGCTTCATTCTTGTTGTGGGAACAGGTCACTGCTGCACTGCCTTTTTTTTTCCTTTTTTGCTTCTGCAATGTATTACCCTCTCTTGTACGTGAAAGTGTCTGTCTTTATTTCCAAACACCACGCCCCCCGCTGGTCTCCTCACCCCACCCTTACTCAGTTTCTCACATGCAGCTATACCAAGCCTGAGCCAAGCCTAGAGAAAGTCCTCCGAGCATTGCGGAGGTATTGACTTTTGGGGCAGAGCGGTACTCGCAGTTTAAACCACCTGTATCCTGCCCAGGTACCCTGTGCACACCCTCTGGTTAACCCAGCAGCACCAAATAGGCTCGGTCTGCTAGAGGGCACCAGGTATGGTGCGCAATTCTGGGTGTCCCCTCTCCGACATGTTTTTTTCTCCTCTCCTTGGAAAAGAATCCGAGAATAATCATGCCCATGGATGACATGCCTCTGCATAAGCGAAAAGAGAGAAGGTGTACCTGTCAGTACAAAATTACGCCTGTATTTGCCCTGCTGTGCAGGCCCAAACCCCAAGACGGTGTCATAGTCCAGGGATCGGCAAAATCCAGAATTGCAAAAAACCGACTCACAGATTTCGGTGGTTAACTATACTGCTTTTGTCGGGTGCTCAGGGTTTGAGATTCTTGAAACAGAATTCAGAGAATGTTGCCAAGTTGCTCGAAAATGAATGAACCGTGTACCGCAAAGCAGGCAACTGGTCTGGTTCCAAGGGTTGTTTTTTGCCCTTCAGGTCGTCTCTGACCCGGAAACAGCTGCGAAAACAGCTACTAATTAGAAAGTGCCCCGAGTTCAAGCATGATGCAACCGGATTGGAAGCCATGCGCGAATAATGAGAAGTGCAAAGAAGCAGGGTCAGGCGGTGCCGCCAGAAAATCAGTGGGGCACGGCTCATTACTTAGGAGCCTATGAGCCACTGTCGATGCAGAATTTCAAAGCTGGAGCACATCACGCACATGTTTGAAATTTGATTCAAGTACATGCAGTGTATTTGAACATGTGTGTGAGGGGTGACCATGCCATGTCTGTCCTGAAATACATAAAAAGACTTCAAAGTTCGAACCCGCGGTTTCCTCAAATGAAGATCCGTAACCTTGTCATAACGCATATGGCTCCTGACTTTGTGCACATGTCGAGGAGACACCAACCTTCCTAAATCCGTCGGGCAGTACTCCGTGTCTTTGTCCTTGGTCCCTGTTGCTTTTCCACCTCTTTGATTACATAGGTGTGGCAAACATAATGACACAGAGTGCTGCGAGGGAAACGGTATGTCAGACAGTTGGTAAAGCTTTGGGGCACTGGTCAGCTTGTGACATGCACACTAGTTCATGCCCATTTCTGATGAGCAGGATAATGACAATAATGAATATTAGCTCTCAGTCCTTTGAAAACTTGCCTGGCCTTAGTGATAGCATTGACAGCACACATTAAATGTCATCACCTTTTAACTTCATTCAGTGATAGAGCATAATATATCCATCCACATACGCCAATAGGATTTTCCCCGCTCAAGCTTCAATTCTCCCCTCTCCACCTCCGTGTGATTCTGCACCGTGTCGTAAAAATATGCCCAATTGGACCAATTCGAAGTTTCTCGATTTTAGAAAGCTCGTTGAGAGGATAGATTGATAGCATGCATCCACAAATTCCACACGGACTGTCTGGAGTTTGTTAAAAAAAGAAAAATACTAATGATAAATAAGCGTGGGAACTGATTTCAGTTGCGGAAGGTTTGTGTGAGCATACACATAGTCGAAGTTTGCTGTGTGTCCCAAAAACAAAATTTGCTGATTGATTTGGAACTCTTCATCACGTGTCCCAAATCTGGTCGTCCCACAACATATAAAGACATCTGGTCATCCCACAACATATAAAGAAACTAAGTTTTCATTGTTCAAACATTTGTGGACGTCCCATGACAAAGAGAAACCATTAACCTGCTACCAGTCGTCTGATTGCTGTCAAAAAGCCGTTCACTTTTCCATGCTCTATTCGCATTCCACCCTCCTCTCCCCCCGTCTTCGACACCCTGCTTGCGCTTTGTATTACATGTTAGTTTCGTTGATGTCCAGAATGTTGCAGTGGTGACAAATAATACCAATGACCGGGAGGGGCTTGGGTTGGAGGTAGACAAGATGGGAACATCAAATGGCTTCAAGAGCCTTGGGTTTTGCAGCTTGTCTGCTGCTGAAATATTTGAACAGTGAAAGCTGAAAACCGGCTTCAAGCGGCTTTTTGACAGCAATCAGGTGAATGGTTTCTCTTTGTCATGGGACATCCACAAATATTTGAACAGTGAAAGCTGAAAACCGGTTTCTATATACGTCGTGGAATGACAAGACTTTGTGTGCATTTCAGCTAGAGACTGCCATCGTAGGCCACGATAAATAGTTCAAAATCAACCAGCACATTTTGTATGTGGGACACATAGCAATTGTTCTTCCAGAGTTTTCAAATCGAATCTTCCGCCAACCAAATGAAAGTCGCACCATTCAGAAATTTCTCTGTTCCCATTCCAGCCGCCGCCGCCTCATCTTGCGCGCCTTGCTACCTTACATGTGAGGCTTTATTTAGTCCAGAGTGCTGTACCGGGGACACATAATACCAATGATCAGGAGGGACTTCGGTTGGAGGTACAAAAGATGGGAACATAAAACGGCTTTGAGGGCCTTGGATTTTGCAACCTTTCTTGCTGTTTCCTTCTCCCACCACGATCCTCCCCATCTACCTCCTCCTCTTTGCCTTCAAAAACCTCCCTACTTTTTTCTCCGAGTGCTTGGTTCTCTGAGTCTTCCTTTCCCTGGCCTTATATCCCTCCACTCCCAGGCCTTCCTCTCTATCCCTCTCCACAATTTCTTGCTCACCCTCACCACCCGTCTTGTCACCCTCCTCCACACCTATCACCCCACTGTGCTTGGCTTCCTCCTCCATTCCCACACCTCCAGCTTTTCCAAAATCCTCTTTTTCACTCTCCTCGGAGACTAAATCGTTCACCAGCACAGGCATCGAGGAGATTGTGTTAAGATTGCAGCAATGTGATACCTATGTCCATAGTGCCACTTCTTGCAGTCTGGTTGCCATCTGTATGGCTTTTTCCTTTTTTGCCCTGACAGGTCATCATTCGCACGCATGCCACATCGCACTTCCTCGTCTTGTTCTCCACCAGGAAGAAACCCACACACTGTCTCCTCCAAATCCACTCACGAATGCCCTTCTACAACCTTCAGAAGTATAATGTCTTAACTTTGCTTGCCTGGTCGTCATTCGGATGCTTTCCCTGACCGGTCCTCATTCACATGCTCGCCACAGGGCACTTCCTCATGTTTTGTTCTCCACCAGGAAGAAACCCGTACACCGTCTCCTCCAAATCCACTCATGAATGCCCTCCTTAACCTTGCCTGCCTGGTCGTAATTCACATGCTCGCCACAGGGCACTTCTTCATGTTTTGTTCTCCACCAGGAAGTAACCCGTACGCAGTCTCCTCCAAATCCACTCATGAATGCCCTCCTTAACCTTGCCTGCCTGGTCGTCATTCACATGCCACAGGGCACTTCCTCATGTTTTGTTTCTCCACCAGGGAGAAAACCGTACACTTTCTCCTCCAAATCTACCCATGAATGCCCTCCTTAACCTTGCCTGCCTGGTCGCCATTCGGATGATTGCCCTGACTGGTCATCATTCACATGCTTGCCACATGCACTTCCCCATCTTGTTCTCCACCAGGCAGAAACCCAAACTCTCCTCCCAATCACTCACGAATGCCCGGCTACAACCTTCAGAAGAAAAAGACTAATGTCTTAACCTTGAGAAATATGTATATTCCACTCCCCTCCATCAATCATGAAGCTTCATCGTTCACCAATTTGGATCAGGCTGCACCAAGCCAAGCCCACCTGAGAAGAAGAGCCTACAGCCACTGACTTTCCTGTAACATCATGAGATGTTGCACAAAGCAGCAGCCTTTTTCTGTTAAGTCAGGTTCGGATCATTCATTCTATGGAGACTGCCCTCACAACTTTCTCCCCAGTGCACCTGAAAACTACTCTCTGCAGCTGAGGAGGGCGTACATGTTAAAATACCTCAGTGGATTGACAAGCGGAGGAGGAAGTGTCCGGACAGAGAAGCGATTACACAGGATTGAAATTGGACAATCAGGTTATAAAACTGGTAAAGTTCAGAAGGCAGAGGGCCGTTCCTACCAAGAAAGAAATCCAATAACGGTTTGCAGAGATGAACAAGATTCCTCACAGCCTGTGGACTGAATGAGAGTCACCATCATCAATCCGCAGACGGGCAATGACAAGGCACCAACACAACGTAACATAGCAAATCCTTGCCACTACGAGTACAGTGGAAAGAAGGGAAGGATGAAGAGAGCACAGAGACCTCATCAGCTGGCCGAATGACAGTTGCCATCACTGATTCACACACATGGCCACCTATGCCATGTCAAAGCGACATGTATGACACATCAAAAAGGACATTTAAATCATGTAACGAGGACATCCATACCACGTCACAGGGGACATCTAAATCACGTCAAGAGGACATCCATACCACGTCACAAGGGGCATCTAAATCACGTCACAAGGGCATCTATGCCACATCAGAGGGCATTTATGCCATGTCACAATGCCATATATGCCATGTAGCAACACCATCTACGAGGGCATCTATGCCGCATCAGACAAGCATCGATGCAACACCACGATGCAAAAGGACAGCTGCTGTGAGCGCAGAGGGAAGAAGTGAAGGGTAAAGAAAGCACAGAGACTTGAGTACCGGGCTGCAACTCTATACTCGATTCTTCTTCAACGCAGGCGCAACTGCTTTCGAAGGACATCCATCACAGCACCAAAATCTTCTGAAACTTGCAATGGAGGGTTTGCATAAACACACTCCATATCCAGAATCTCCTTCGAGTGATACGCCACCTGTAATTTGTGTACCACCATCAATGGATCACGTGTGAAGATACACAGTAAGGTCAATTCAGTAAAAAACAATATGATGTCGTACTGCAAGGAATATGAGCGAGAGCGATAGACAGAAAACCAAGATGCAAAATCACACATGTCAGATAGTCATGTACCAAGCAGAGAGCTCAAATACACCAAGATTCCATCCAAATAAGAGCAGCTCAGTGGTTAGAGCACCGGTTGGAAACGCGCATTGTGGTGTGAGGTTGCGGATTCACAACTCAATTGCAGCCTTGCGCATGGACTCTGGCAGGGCGTTAGAATGACGCATGGCTGGACAGACATTCCCTTGGGCTGACGCACGGTAAGCTTATACAGACACTGCCTGCGCACCACCCAAGGATTGTCCATGGTATGTTGGGTCTTGATGCTGCATGGGTTGGTTGTGGCTGTTCCTCGTGGTTGTTCTGTTGATCTCCCCATTCTGGCATATCACACATAGGGGCCGTTTGCGATTGTTGCTCAAATGGTAGAGTCGTCAGGCCACATGTCATAGATCACGGGTTCAAGTCTGGCTGGGGACTTTGGGGGGGGGTCTTGTCCAGCTTGGCCTGTCATCTCTTCAAACGAACACAGTTCCCTCAACATAGCACTGCACATATCTGGCCTTCGGGCACATACATCTCGCTATACAGTTACACAGAGCACACATAGACTGCACATATCTGGCCTTCGGGCACATACATCTCGCTATACAGGTACACAGAGCACACAGAGCCTTCRGGCAGATACAAAAACACATGGCCCTATGGGCTCATACAAACATACACAGCCTCTGGGCGTACACACATACCCACAAATTACGATACTGGGCTGGGGGGGTCTATCAGGTATATGATGGGGTCTACTCACGCATGGCTTAGCTCTAGGGTAGGTGTAGGGATATAAGTCGCTCTGGCTATTCTGAGCTCCGCCTAGCCTTGGGTAAGCTAGGGGAAGGACGGTAGGATGTGTCCGTGGGCGCTGGCCTGCCTTGCTTAGGTAATCCTGCTGGGTAGCCTGGCGTCCGAAGTTTCCGTACGGCAAGGTTCGTCCGCTTCCGCTTCCATCAGGGCTGGGAGGTTGGCCCAGCCCTGGTGCCTGTCACTGCTGTCTGGTCCAAGTTGCCCTCGATACTGGTAGGGTGATGGTCCTGAGTGCTGGTCACACTGAGGTAGGATAGTAGGGACAGGGAGTGCACTGGGAGTATTAACGTGGGGATGGGTAGGGTAGGTGGCCTATCCTGTCAGGACAAACCAGTGGCTGCCGCTACCCGCAATCACCGCGGGTCTGGTCCTTGGTCTCTACAACACCCTGGGCTTAAAAAGAGAAAAAACTCGTGTGCCAATGTTATCGCCCTCAGGCCCCACCAACACAGTATACAATATCGCTCATCTCTGTCTGGCGCCCAGCGCCCAGCCTACTCTACTGAGCCTATCTACCGTATCTACATTCTTGCAACAGGATCACTCCGACGTTGAAGACCAATGTACATGACGTCAACAGCAATGCCGACCTCCCACATACACCAGGTACGTTCTCTCTCCTCTCCTCATCAGACTTTGACCACCCACTCATGCGCCTCCTACCCGAAGACCACCTTTGCCCATCACCCGCATGCGCCCCTGCAGCCCGGCTATGGTTGCCGTGCGCCCGCTGCCCTGCAGCGCCCCTCTCATCTAGCCAGTGTGCGCCCCAGCCAGAAGTGCACATGCAGATACCTGCGCAGCAATGCAGCAGTGTATCCGCATTGCCTGACCAGGCGAGAATGCCCGCCTCTGGCCAGCGACCTTCCTATATGGAAGTCGTGGCCTCTGTTTGGCTGTGAGGGCCTGGCTAAGGAAGCTCCCAGTAGCTTCCAGTCAGGCCCCAGTGTCTGCGTCCAGGCCCTGTCCGACAGTTAGGGGCCTGGGCCCTTTGTGGTTGGGCACGTCCAGGCAGCCTCCAGGCTCCGAGTGTTTGCCGCCTTCTCATTGGCTCGACGACAATGCTGATTTGCCTGGGGCCAGTTCGTGATGTGTCGGCCTCACACTGCGTGTGCCCAGGGCGCAACCACCCGGCCCTGAGCTCAACTGCTTGACGCAGCTGCTGTTTCTGGAAAAAGCCCAGGGAGAGGCTCACGTTGCACTTCAACCAACTGGAGTGCTGCAACTGTCTGATACCCACCTTGGAAAATGCTGGGATAAGGCCTCACGTGGATATTCAGGCCCGCCTTCACTTAGGGCGGGCACAATGCTTGGCGGGGGCCACAGCCCAGATTATGTGCATGTTGGCTAGAGCCCCATGAGGGCACATTCCTCAAATTTCATAAGCTTCAAAAGTCCGCTGAGATGCTTCTTAAGCAGGAGCCTTCCCCTTTAACCTTCTTTGACAATCTGCCACGATTTGAGGTGCTGTTTCAACCAGTTCCTCTCTTGTGAACCATAGGTCTTCTTTTGGATCCGTGTGATGCCTGAATCTGACCCGGTACTCCCTCTTGGGTTTCGGCGGTCTTCCTCTACCCACAGGCTTGGGAACAGGCATCTCTCTGTGCTCCAAAATGTCGTCAACGTCCACGTGCCCATCCATGGTTGGGGGCAGCATTGACGTCCTTGATCAGCGAAAGGTGCAAGCTTTGAGGCGTGAAACACAGGGTAAGTACGCAGGTGACCAGGGACGTACGAGGGACCATAACGATATCCAAGATCTCCCAAGGAGAGCATTAGTTTCCTAGAGATACCGATCTCTTGTCCTAGCTCACTAGCCTCCTTGACCCAGACGCGTTTACCTACCTGAAATGTGGACTATCGTCAATGTTTGTTCTCAGAAGCAATCTTCTTGAAATTTCTTAATGTGCTCGATAGCCTGCTGCAACAACTTCTCATACTGGACACCAAATTCTATGGTTCCAGGAGTTGCAGCAGATCGGTTTTCAGGTAGGAGGAAGTCTAGAACAGATCTAGGCTTCGACCCCAAACGCAGCTGATTCGGACTGAAGCAGGTGCTGCTGTGTACAGCGTTGTTGTACAGACTGGCGATGAGCGGCAACTTTTCATCCCAGTCATCCTGGCTGGGCTTAATGTAATGCCTCAGCAGATGCTGCACCACACGGTTCATCTGTTCAGCTTGACCGTTGGCTTCGGGATGATTCCCCGAAGTCATTTGGAGTTGGCTGCCCATCTGTTCAGCAGCCTTCTTCCACATCTTACTGATGAAACGGACATCCCTCTCACTAACGATGGACTTGGGCAGTCCAAAATCCCGCACCCAATTATCCATAAATAACTCGATGACAGGATCCCTCCTCACTGTTTCCGGCATGGCAATTAGTCTACCGTACTTAGTAAACCTGTCAACTATGACGAAGATGTGCCTCTTGCAACTCTTGCTGGTCACGAGTGTGTCCATTAAGTCCATGGATATGCTTTGTCCGGCACCGGCACTAATGGGCAAGGGCTCGAGTACCCCAAGCGGAGCTCGAGTTCACGGCTTGTCCCGCTGACAGACTTGACAAGCTTGTATGTACTTCTTTGCTTCGTCGAGCATACCAGGCCACCAAAAACGTTGTAGTAGATTATCACTCGTCTTTTTGTAGCCGAAGTGTCCGGTGTCGGGCGGCTGTCTACCAGCCGATCACTCTCTTTTTTGAGCAAGATACTTTTTCTTTTTTGTTTCCTTTGTTTTCGCATGTTTTTGAGAATGTGTATGTGGCTGCGGGGTTTCTAGGGGAACTTTAAGGGGTTTTGGTCTTTGTACTAACCTTTGGACAAGCAGGGGCGACGACCCGGAAGGAGGTCACGAGCGGGGTCGAATGTGGACAGCAAATCAGGGATTCCGACGCGGTAAGGAAAAGGCAACTGGCCTATACGAAAACGAGCCCTTGCGTCAACCGCCGGTGGGTAATTAAGGGTCGGCCGGGAGGAATCACGAGGCAATGATGAGTAGAGGAGCAAGGATCAGGGGGAGATAGCCGCGGTCGTGGAATCTTGGCACGAACGAAGCATTTTTTTTTCGACCTCCACAGAGAGGTGATCAGTTCTTGCATTTGGATTTGATACGGCGTGATGGTCGGCTGGTATGTTGGATTTCGGTATAGTTGTCACAGTATCGTGTGTCGCTTGCAGTGCGTCACGGTCAGCTTCCATGTTGTCTCCACATGGGGTCGAATTCGTCCTGATCACCTTGGTAAGGGGTACGGATCGGTGAAACCGACGTTGCTGTGGTCGAGAGATTGGTCAACGGGAGCTGGCCACATGGTGAGTTGGGACATTTCACTAGTCGAGGATCAAGTCGGATCTTTTCCGCTCCGGGGTGATGGCAGGACGACGTTCAATCTCGCTCCATGGGGAGGGTGGACTCCGCCTAACTGTTGTGGCGGGTTCCCACCCTACAGGCTGCTGCAATAGGGATGTGAATGAACGAGTGGGTTCACATAATGCAGATAGTCTGGGGTTGCTCGCATGGAAAAACCACCAGATAGTGGGGTTAGCCGGGTCGCACCCACCTGCCAGGAAGCTGAGTAGGGGTGATCCAACAAGGAGGGCAAGGAGAATGAAGGAATTGGCAGATGAAGAGGGAGAGCGGCCCAGTGACGTGGAAATAGAAAAGAGGGGGGGGGGGGGGGCGCGCGGCAAGACAATTAAGAATACTCACGTGATCCCTCGTTACTTGATAACTGTCAACGAAGGGGAGGAAAGGACCCCGGGAAAAATCGTCAAGTAAGCCCGATGTGCACCGAGATTGGGCCAGATACGGGAACGGTGTCGGGACTGGTGAGTCCCGAATGATTTCCCGTCACTCGAGAGACTTTATATGACCAATTTGTGCACGACAGAGAAAACCAGAGGCAGGAATGCTGGAAAGAGCAGAAACATGGGCACGGACAGTAGGAAGCCAGAGGCTGCCCAGAGTTGTCGGGGCCGCCAAACTAGAAAGGGGTTGTCCAAGCAAGAAGCGGCAAAAGGACTGTGAGAGAATAGCAGGGGCGACTCTTTCCC